TTAACAAATCATTTTCTATTTCTTGTTTCTTATATATTTTGCCTCACCCCCTTGATTCCCTAACTCTCACCCTTTGCGAACTCCCCCCCTTCTACCACACTGTCTCTGGTATGTACAGTTGCTTTCCATGCCTTTTTTCCCCCCACATTTTATTGATTTGCTAAAGATCTTAATTAAAGACTTTCAATAGCAAGCACAGCTGATATATACATATTTATGAACACATGTTTGACTTTAGGCATAAACCTCAGTGAGTAAAGTGAACATACTATAAAGTAGTACCTTGCCTGGGCTAGATAGCTTACTGCAGTCATTAAATAGGTGTTAATAAGTCTTTGTCAATGCATTTTTTTAATTTCAAAAAAAAAGTTTTCGTTTTAATAGATCAAAATTTAAAAATTTTAACAGAAATTTGCTTAAAAGTTAAAGCCAGGAAAAAGGTAAGATCAGATCCCTCCTTCAGCTTTGCAAATTTTTAAATAAAATCTTATCGAACTAAAACAAAAACAAACACATTGTGACTTTTCCAACTCAGTATTTTTCTGATTGGGTATGTTTCCACACTTTTTTTTTTTTTTTTTTTTGCCATAAGGTGTGTGAGGGAAATGAGAAGTCACTCCCCAGGGGTATGGCTTCACTACAGTTCCTTCTCCTCCATTCTCCTGGGATTTGGGGCATGCACACACACACACATGCCCTGGTATGATTTTCAGTCCATCAGGTCTTAGACTCAAACTGCAGTCTGCCATGTGGAAGTCTAGCAGCTTAATAATTTTTTTGGCTAAACCAGAAGGGACTTTTTAATGATGGTTTTATGATCCTTTTTCTGCAAGTAAGTGGAGCTATCTACATTTTTTACTTTCTTATGTGGTCAGTGACCTATCAAAATGTTTAAGAGAAAGTGAAGTGTCTACTAGGACATCAGAAATATTGAAAATTCCATTGTGTTTGGGCAGATAATTGATTACTCTTTGTGATATCTGATAAAATTAATGCAGAAGAGTCAATTTATGGTTATCTGAGTACACAATAGCCATTATGTATATTAACTATGATTAGTTAAGTTTTAATTCTGTATTGTCTTCTCTCTGGCACATAAGACATATTTGGCCATGTTCATTCTGTCAATTAGTGTTTATACATAGAGAATGTAAAATCTATTTAATATCAGATGAGGCAAAGTTTTAAGTAATAATGCAAATGTGGGCATAAAAGATAGGAATTATAGAACCCAGTGCAAATATTTTTTGGATACCCTTTTAGTTTTAGGTTATTTATACTACTATGTTTCACCCATTACTTAAAACAGTTAAAAGTAAATTATTAGGTTGTCAGGAACATCATGATATATTTTTCTGTTTTTTCTATGCAGAAATGCGTCATGGCTTTCTCAATGACCCAGTATATTATTTTTATAGAAAACTCTTGTGTTGCCAAAACTCCTTTTTTAATTTATCTATTTATTTATTTATTTACACTCATTCACTGTACATCAATATAGTATACAAAATGAGATTTTCCATTCAGTGTAGCTCGTATATTGGTTCAATCAAGGATATTACATACATGTATCATTAACAAATCATTTTCTATTTCTTGTTTCTTATATATTTTGCCTCACCCCCTTGATTCCCTAACTCTCACCCTTTGCGAACTCCCCCCCTTCTACCACACTGTCTCTGGTATGTACAGTTGCTTTCCATGCCTTTTTTCCCCCCACATTTTATTGATTTGCTAAAGATCTTAATTAAAGACTTTCAATAGCAAGCACAGCTGATATATACATATTTATGAACACATGTTTGACTTTAGGCATAAACCTCAGTGAGTAAAGTGAACATACTATAAAGTAGTACCTTGCCTGGGCTAGATAGCTTACTGCAGTCATTAAATAGGTGTTAATAAGTCTTTTTCAATGCATTTTTTTAATTTCAAAAAAAAAGTTTTCGTTTTAATAGATCAAAATTTAAAAATTTTAACAGAAATTTGCTTAAAAGTTAAAGCCAGGAAAAAGGTTAGGATTCAGTTCAAATAGTAGGTAGATGAACCTATCAACAGTTCAAGGGAAGAGTAAAGTCCTCAAATTTGGAAATCAAAGCATTGAAGAAAATCAGTAATGTTTTAGTCTAAAGTCAAAAATTCAATTTCACTAGTTCAGAGTCACATAATTAATATCTCTTCTATTGAAAGTGCAGTGTTACTGTGGTCTGATCTTTCCATTTAAACTCTGCAAGTTAACATTCAGCATTATTATTGATATTTCTGAACCTATCCCTACCATTAAGTTGGTCTTTTTCTTGGTCATTTCTTGTTCTCTTACTTCTGTCTGTCTTTAGTGTTCCTGGTATAGGACTCCCTTCAACACTGCTTGAAGGGCTGATCTGGTGTTGGTAAATTCTTTCAGGTTTTGCTTATCTGAGAATGTTTCGGGCTTTTCTTCCCATATGAAGGATAATCTTGCCGGATGTAGTATTCTTGGTTGAAATTGTATTTCACTTAACACTTTGAGTATATTTTTCCATTTTTCCCTTGCTTGCACTGTTTCTGACAAGAGATCCGACATGAGCCTTATGGGATATCCTTAGAAAGTAACTTGACGTTTCTCTCTTACCAGTTTTAGTATCTTGTCTCTTTCTGTGGTTTTGGTCAATCTAGCTATGATATGCCTTGAGGAAGATCTTCTTGGGTCAATTCCATGTGGGTTTTTTTGTATTTCTTGGGTATTTGAGTGCCTCTCTAGTTTGGAAAGTTTTTTTCCAGGATTTCATGGAATAGATGATCAATTTCCATGTCAGTTTCTTTACCTTGTGGGATACCGATGATCTGGATGTTTGGGCATTTAACAGTATCTAGTATTACTCACATGCTATTGTCAGGTTGTTGTTTGTTTTTTATTTTTTTAATCTCAGTCTTTTTGTTGAATTTTTCTAGGTCAGAGGTTCTATATTCTATATCTGAGATTTGATCTTCTGTATAATCTAATCTGCTTTTGATATTTTCAATGGAAGTTTTGATTTCCTATATTACAATTATGTAAACAATTATGTTTGACTCTTTTTTATGATGTATATCTCCTCTTTCAGATCATGCACGAATTTCGTCACCTCCTAGATCTCAGTGTCTCTTTTCTCCTGTATCTTCTGGAGGTGGTTGTGTCTATTCTCTTGCTTCTCTGTTAGCTTTGACACTATGAATATTTTAAATTCTTTACCTGACATTTCCATGAGTTCCCTTGTATTCCTTGTGGAGGCAGAGGAGTTATTCTTTTCCATTAAAGAAGAGATATTTTCTTTGTTTCTCATATTTCTTGTGCCTCTGCAGTGGTTTCTGGTCATATGATGGATTATACATGTTTTCCTATTTTTTTGGAGTTAAATCTGAGCATTCAGAGGAATGCAAGAGTTGACCTGTAGTCTGAAGACAGTACTGTTTTTCCTCCCTTTGTACAACTGATTCAATGCAAATTGAGGATTAATCTGATTCTAAAAGTATTCAGATATTTGGCTACTGAGCATCTAGACCTTTCTAGAAAATCAATGTATGGAGGCTAGCAGAAGAATGAGAAAGGTAAAAACAAAAGGAAAAAAAAAAAAGAGGAGGAAATAAAAAGAAAGAAGAAAAAATTTTTTTGTCAAAAAATGAAAACTGCTCAGAACTCAAATATAGATGGCTGCTGCTTATCCTGGCTCCTGGCTAGACTGGGGAGCAGAGGGTGAAGTCTAGGCAGAGGGTCTTCCATGGTCGAAATCCCTGTTGCCAAAACTCTTATGACTAATTAACAGAGCTGAGGACTAATAGTAATATGAATATTCATATTCTCATTAAGTGCGCAACCTAACAAAATTATGATCAAGTTTTCTATATTAATTATATAAGGCCTCTTTTAAATGTTGTTGTTACTGTCATTGTTGGTTTTTATCTATTATTGAATTAGGCACAGACAATAAGAGCCATCTCCTTTCTGTTTTTAATCTGACATTACAGTAAGGAGGCTTTATAAAATTACTATGTGCTAGATCTTCCTCTTCATGATGTTCTATTTTAATGTTGGGTTAAATGGCCCCAGGTGCAGTTAGGCCCATGCAAGCTTCCAGAACCAGGAGAGGAGTGAAAGGGTTGAATTGTAGGACATTATGGTGTAATACGGTACAACAGCATGAGCCTGAAATTTGGGGCCAGAGTAGATCTCAGCTTGTCACTTAACTCATAAATTATCTCTGGCAAGCCACTGACTTTGTTCTAGGCTCCTTTTTTAAAATAGTTCTAAGATGAATCTAACATTTTCTTTGTGCTGCAAAGGAATCATTTTATAAATCATTCAAAGGAATGATTTATAAAAATACTTTGCAAACTGTAAAGCATTATATGTTAGTTATTCTGGTTAATATGTGGGAAAAATTCTTGTGAATGAGCCAGATACTTATTGATGTCCAAGTTCCATCCTGTAGGTACCAATAAGATTAAGAAACAAGGATGGTTCCAGGACCCTCGGCTTTGTTGTGTTAAACCACCTGCCTTCTAAAACAGCTCAGTGAATTTCAGTGAAGCTCTAGAAAACCTTCATCAGTTTAGGCAGATATGGCCTATGTGATTTTTCTTCCTCTCTGTCCAGCAAATCTGTGATTTCCATCTCACAGAGCTAACACACATGTCTGGAATATATATATATATATATGAGAAATCACTCCCCAGGGGCGATGGCCATGCTGCAATCCCCTCTCCTCCATTCTCCTCTCGGGATCTTGGGTACACACGCACACGTGCCTGGCATGAGTTTGAGCCACCGGGTCCAGGACTCAAACCGCAGTTGACTACATGGGAATCCAGTGACATAGCCATTATGCCAACTGCTGGTCCTGGAATATTTATTTTTAAAATATCAGTTGAAATAAGTTTAGGTGCAGAATGTTTCTGGGAGCAGAGTAGTATAAAAAAAAAAAAACAACTTTACAGAAACGGAGTGCATGAATTAATTAACTAGGGAATTAGTACTAACTTACTTTTTCGTGTAGACTATGACCTCCCTTCTTCTTTCCTACAATGCCATCTGAAGATTCCCTTTGTGCTTCTGAACCAATAAGTGGAAGGAATCTTAAAGTAGTGGGGCTTGGGACCTGGAAACCATAAATAGTCAGATATATGCAAGTAAATTGCCTTGATGGGGGAGTGAAAAGTGAGAAGGCCTAGCTTCTTCAGAATATACCCTCCTTCCCAATTGCTCACTATGTATTTTTTAAGGTTTTTGCCATAGGGTATCTACACTTGCCAGAGAGACAGAAAGTGAAAACTCACCCCCCCCCCCCGGGGGAATTGCTACATTATAATCCCCTTTCTGCCATTCTCCTGGGATTTGGGGCATACATGCACATGTGCCTGGCATGATTTTCAAGCCACAAGATCCAAGACTCTAACTATAGTTGGCCATGTGGGAGTCCAGTGCCTTAACCACCAGGCCACTTGCTGGCCCTCCAGTTGCCCACTATTAATTCTTGATAGTTCACCATTAGCATCATCTGTTAGCATAAGTGTTTGATACTTGTGATAAACATGTTCTTGGGAAAAATGTTAAATTTAAGATAGAAGTTAGGTTAAAAACTTTGGTTTATTATTTCATAGGTTTATTAATTAGTTATTTAATTGAGGTTATCTGGGGTAGAGATATGAAGGATGGATATGAATTTGGAAGGAAACAAGGGGTGAATGAGTCCTGGGGAGAAGGTAACCCAAGTATAGTCACAGAAGTAATGTAAAAACAAGTGATACTTGGGCTAGCAGGTAGCATAGGGGTAAGGTGCTGGACTCCCACATGGCCAACTGTGGTTTGAGTCCTAGACATGGCAGCTTGCTTTTTTTCTCTCTCTGGTGAATTAAAATAATAATACATAAAATTAAATAATTCTTTTCGAAAATTTTTTAAAAAGACATGTCATAGGGCATTTCTTGAGTATTGGGAATGTAGAGAGAATGTGGTGGAAAAGGAGGTCATTCGCTTCTATCAAAGGCCAGATCAAGGAAGGTTTATATGCCATACTGATCATTTGCATTTTATCCCGTAGGTGATAAGCCTCAGTGTAAAGTTCAAAATAACTACCATGTGGAATGACACTGGCAAGTGATCTAGGCTACTGATACCCAGAATCCAAGACTTCTCTGGAATTGGATGTGATTTTCTCCAGCCTTGCTTTGTAGCCCAGAGTCAGGAATGAGATCTCAGAGTTACTATTTTTCTGTTACTAGTCTAGTCCTAGGAACCACCAACTCACCCTGTATATAGGAAGAGAACCAAAAACAATCCCCGCTTCTCTGTTTTCAGTCATGAACCCTTCTAAGGCATATCTTCGAATCTGTAAAATGAAGGAAAGAATGCTTAAATGAAAAGGGCACATCCCATTGTGGCAAAATACCTGGGTTCAAATCCTGACTCTTTATTTTATTTATTTATTTTTGAGAGTTCTTTCTGCTATAGGATGTGTACACTTGTGAAAGAGAAAAAGGGAAACAGAAATCATCCCCCAGGGTGGATGGCCATGCTGCAATACCTTTTCCTCCATTGGCCTCTTGAGATTTTGGGCATGCATGTGCACACATACAATGAGAGTTTCAAGCCACTGGACTCAGGACTCAAACCACGGTCTACCATGTGGGAGTTCAGAGCCTTAACGAGAATGCCACCTGCTGGCCCCACCTCTTTCATTTATTAGCTGCATGTTGACTAGTTACAAGAATCAAACAAGATCACATATACAGTGAGGTGCTACTTACATGGAAGATTTAGTATCATTCTATTATTATTACTGGTAACAATATGTCAAAAGGAAATTAACAGAAAAGAAATGAATAGATACATATTACATAATTGAGAATGAAAAGAAATAGACAAACAAGATTCTCTGGAAAAATCAGAATCCTAAGTACAAAGCATTTCAACTCAATTTTGGCATTGGGACTTTGTTATTTTACCAACCCACTGAGGTAAGAAGAGGACCAGGTTTGTCAAATTTGGAGCATTCCACTGTTTCAAGGGCTTTACAAACCTTTCTAAAGATGTCCCAAAGTTAGTTAAATGTGTCAGTTACTTTTAAAAAACTGATTTCTTAGAGGAAATGGTGGTTCAGGCACTGGATTCCCACATTACTGACCGCAGTTCAACTCCCAGATCTCTTTCTCTCTCTAGTCAAATTTTAAAAATAATTAAAATTATTAAATAATTCTTTAAGAAAATGACTTATCTCTAAATTGAAAGAGAATATTAAAAGTTAGTAAAAGCTACATATCCCTTATCCAAAATCCTTGCCTAGTAGTATTTTAGGTTTTGGATTTCTTGGAACATCTGCATAGACACAATGAGATATCTTGGGGATCAGACACAAGTCTAAACACAAAATTCTCTTAATCTATACCTTATATACATATAGCCTGAATATAGAATATTTTTGTATTGTAGCATTTTGGTTGTGATCCATCACATCAAGTCAGGTGTAGACCTTCCCACTTGAGGCATTATGTTAACATTCAAAAAGTTTCAAATTTTGGAGCATTTTAGATATTTAGATTTTTGGATTAGGGATATTCAACCTGTACCAGTGATTTCTGAGTTGTACTGTTATAATCCTATTCAACACAAAGGAGTATCTGGTACATACTATGCACACATCTTTGCCCATAAAGAGCTCATGACCTGGTGGTGGGGGTGGGAAGTAAAGGTAATTACACAATATATTCCTATTTGGTGTAGAGCATGCCAGGTGATTGAGTTAAAAGACATGAAGCAGAGACTGGGACATTTGGGGAAGGTGGAACTCACATTTATTGAGAATCTGAAAGATCACTGGTATAGATTTTCTCATTTTATCCTCACAATGACTCTTTGAGATATCTTCAGATGAGAAATGAAATAAAACTACTTATCTAAAAACTAAGTCTATTAGAATCCTTATCCCACACCTTTCCTGCCTGTCATTCTGTCTTCAGGAAAGAAAGTTATCTGGGTTCCTTTTGGAACGAAAAGTGGGGTTTTTGAAAATTGCCTTACTTGAAAAATATGTAATGTTAAATACAAAGTAGACACTGTTAGAGAATAATGACATAAGGAACACAGGTGAACCCCCGGCCCTGCTATACAAATTGGAACAATGCCCTCCACTTTGAAGCTCTCAATATGCAGTTTCTTGGCTTCATCTCTGGCTTCACTCCTGTTCATCTGCCTTCAGACATTAATGACTATCCTGAATTTGGGTTTTTAATTTCCTTGCTTTTATGTATTTAACTTTATATGCTCTGTCAAACCAGTATTTTGTTTGGTTTTTATCTGTTCACGACTTTTCACAATTGAAATCATTATATATTTAGGCAAAACATGACTCATTCAGTAGCAACATTGACTCATGTAGATGTTACCCTAGTTCATTTATTTGCACTGCTTTATACCATTCCTTTATTAATACGCCAGAATGTATGTGCCATTACACTGTACTACTTCGACCATTCTCGTACCTTTCAAGCACATGTTCAAGGGTTTCCCCAGGGGATACATTTAGTAGGTCATGACTCTTTTCAAGCTCACTTGATATGCCATCCTGTTTTGCATGTTGGCTCTACCAGTTTACACTACCACCTACCAGCAGACTAGTGTTCCACTTGTGCCACACGCATACCAGCCTTTGATACTGTCAGGCTTTTTGGTATTTGCCAAGTTGGTAGGTCTAAAAGGGTATCCCATAAAATTCTTGATGTTCATTCCCATATTTACTAATGAGCTGAACATCTTTTCCTGTGTTTTTTTTTTTTTTTTTTCTTTTTTTGGAGAGGTTTTTCGCTATAGGGCGCGTGCGCTCGTCAGACAGACAGAGAGAGACAGAGAGACAGAAAGCGAGAAATCACCCCCCCCCCCAGAGGGGATGGCCACGCTGCAATCCCTTCTCCTCCATTCTCCTCTCGGGATCTTGGGCACACACGCACACGCGCCCAGAGTAAGTTTTAAGCCACCGGGTCTGGGATGCGAACCACGGTCGACTACGTGGGAGTCCAGCGACATAGCCATTACGCTAACTGTTGGTCCCCTTTTCATGTGTTTTTTAAAAAATAATTAATTAATTAAATTCATAAGATAGAGAAAGAGAGGGATAAAGAGATAAACAGCCTTAACAGGATCCCCATACCAAGATTCAACAGCAACCTCAGCTCGCCAGGATTATGGGCACACATGCATGTGCCGTCATGTATGGAAAGGTCTCAGACACAAACCCAGTATGTTCCCGTGTGGATTGGCTGTACCACCACCTTACCACTGCCAGTACCCTTTTCAATGTGTTTAATGGCATTTTTTTTCTTTTGCGAAGTATCTATATAATTTTTTAACTTTTTTTTTCTTTTAGTTTTGAGAAATTACTCCCCAGAGGGGAATGTCCACAGCATGATCCCTTCTCCTCCATTCTCTTCTCAAGATTTTGGGCACTCATACACATGCACCCAACTTGTTTTTCAAGTTGCTGGGCCCAGGACTAAAACCATGAAGTCAGCCATGTGGAATCAGCTGTCTTAACCACCATTCCACTGACTGGCCCTTTTAACCATTTTTAAATTGGACTGCCTTTTTTCTCATTGATCTTTAGAATTCTTTGCATATGCTGGATACTGATATTTTGTCAGCCATATGTTACAAAGGAGGGTGAACTTGGACAGATGGAGAGAGGTTGGAGATATGACAAGGACACTCCAGGTAGATGGAACTGTAGGGGCAGAAGACGGATGGAAATGCTTAGGGAAACAACAATCAGTGTGATTTGTAGAAAAGAAGATCACTGTAGATTAGTAAAGGGGGACACACTTAGAAATCAGTTTGGTTACTTTGTGAAAGATCTTGAGGAAATAAATTTAATTAAGGCCAAACCTTAGCCTAAAGACTCACACTATATCCATTCTTTAGAAGTGTTAAAAATAGAAATAGAATGAAGAGCAGTACGTTTTTATGTCCTAATTCCATACTAAAGAAAAGTGTATCTAAGAAAGGTAGAGTAATGGCTACCGAAGACATCCACACCTAGTCTCTTCACTTTCAACCTGTGAATATGTTGTCTTATTGGCCGAAGGGACTTTGCAGATGTGATTAATGTTAAGAACCTTTGAGATGGGAAGTTTATCCTGGATTATCTAGGCAGGCCCAATCAAGTCACATGAATATTTAAAGGCAGAGAATCTTGGGACCAGCAGTTGGTATTGATGGCTATGTCACTGGAGAAGGGATTGCCGCATGGCCATCCCCCCGAGGGGGGTGATTTCTTGCTTTCTATTTCTTTGTCTCTCTCTGTTTTTCTGGTGAGCACACGCACCCTGTAGCAAAATCCTCTCGAAAAGAAAAAAAAGCCAGAGAATCTTTCACACTGGGTTAGAAAAACATGTGATCACGTGGTCAGAAAGACATAACCTTTCTGGCTTAAAGAAGAGGGAAGAAGTGCCACAGACTTAAGGAATATGGTCTCTCCTAGAGTCTTCAGAGAGAAACACAGCTCTGGTGATACCTCAGTTTTAGCCCATTGAAATCCAGGTCAGGTGTCTGATCTAGAGAATTGAGCGATATTAATTTGTATTGTTTAAGCCACCAAATTTGTAGTAATTAGTAATAGCAGCAATGGAAAATTAATGTGCAATATTGCTGGACATACCTGAGTTCAGTAAAGCAAAAGCAAAGTTTTTTTTTTTTTTTTCTCCATTTTTCTTATATCTTTTTTGTGCTTGCCAGAGAGAAAGAGAGAAATAGTGACAAATCCTCCCCACACACACACACATCCTGGGGTGGCCATGCCAATCTCTTCTCCATTCTCCTCTGGGGATTTTGGGCACACACACACAGGTGCCTGACATGTCTCTCAAAGTGCAAGTCTGGGACTTCACTGCTCATTTGGCCATTTGAGATCCAGCCACCTCAACCTCCATCACCACCTGATGGCTCGTGTTGTCTTTTCTTTTGTAGTTTATTTATTTGTTTTTCTACCTTGGGAGAAGACAGAGACTTGAAAAACTTAAAATCCTGTTCCACTTCAAAGGCTTTGGGAGGTGTCCGTTTGAAAAGTAGAGACAAAGAGCTCATTTTTTTCCATCTGTATATAAAGGTACAAGAAAAAAATGTTAAATACATACCCATACCTTTTGTTCTCTGCCTACTAAACAAATATTCTCCCTCAATGGCCCCCATTCCCTGGTTCCCATGGCACCAGCCCCAGAGATGCCACCTCTGCACCTAACTTTTATTCCACTTAATTTCTCAGATTTCCCTCTAGAGAAAAAACAGCAATTTCTACTTAGTCTGAATGTATCCAGAGACAAGTTCAATAAGAATCGTTAAAATATATAATATATATACATATAAATATAAATTCAATGCCTGACTTTTATGTTAATCAGGAAAGCTTCCCCAATAGTTAAAACCTACTTACACATACATTTAGAAAGTCACATTAAAACATTTTTAAGATACAAATAATAAGTCCTGAGATGGAGTCATTCTACAGAATAGTGCCATTTTGCTACAGACAATCCCTAATTACTTAGTAATAAATAATCATTTGAGCATACATTTTAGCTATCACAAATATGCCATACCCTTATTTATTTATCTATGATTTATATCCATTCTTTCTGCTTATAATATTCTCCATTAATCATTCTTTATTTGAGAACCTACTGTGTGATAGGCACTGAGCTGAGGACTGGGGTACAAAGATATAAAACAAAGAGCCAGTCTGCAAGAGACTCACAGTAGAGTGAAGAAAACACAGAGTAATATCTCAAGTGCTAAGAGGCATGATGTTCAAGGCTAAGCAGTTACTCAAAATGTAGGAATGATCAAGTTTGCTTGGTAAATTTTACTACATCTGGTGAGGCGTGGCTATCTACACCCCTGTTTCATTTTAGCCAACCCTCCTCTTCTCCAGTACTCCTTACTGACCAGGTAAGACAAACCTTGAACACTCCAGTGGGGTTTTGTCACTCACCCCGGAACCCTTCTTGATTGTTCTCACATTGCCCCTGTTTTAAACTGAATTCTTTATGGCTTTTGATTCTTAGTTTCAGTTTCTATTTGCTACCCTACCTTTCTACCATTTAATGGCCTTGAGTCTTGTCCATTTTGCTTCACTTAGGACTTCCCCAAAGGACTTTATTTCTGATGACTCTTCTGATTCTTCCCATTTGGGACTCATCCTCATTGGCTTCTTCCGTTTTGGTCTGCTGGATGTCATTAGCTGAGGTAGATCATGTCCCGTGAGAGCTACTCATTTAGACACCTACTATCTAGGGCTAAGCTTTGCTGATGTTGAAAGCTCAGTTGAGTACTGATTTCTTCCATTGTAACAAAGGCCTGACCATACCCAATACCAGGACTGAAATTTGCAAAAGCATAGAGCCCCTGCCCTCTAACAGTCTATGCTCTTTCAGGGAAATACTCCCTTCTCTAAACTTGTAAGCATGCTCAAGTCAACCCTACAAACCAACAACCTCATGAAACTCTTCTTCAACTTAGGGCTATTTGCCTGTCTTAAAAAGTAATCTATACTACATCTCCTGTGAAAATACTACTATGCTGATGACTCCAATAACTTCATCTATAGCTTCGACCGTTTTTAGGAGCTCCAGATGGGTCTTTCTCAATACTCATTAACATATCCACCTGGATATACCACAAGCATCTCTAACTTAAACCTGTGCCAAATCATACTCATTACCTTTGCTTTCAGACCTATTTTTCTTCTCATATATCTTATTACATTAATTCTCTGAAGTTTAAAATTTTTATATTAGCCCATCAAGAAATGCCCCTTATAATATGGCCCCTATTTTATAGACTTATCTCCTATCATGTTTTCCCTACATGCCCCTTGAACTCTAAAATCTCAAAAGACTTTATCATAGACTCTCATTATTTGGTGACTTTGTTCAGGAAATTGACTCTTTGATCTTGTTTGGTTAAATCCTATTTACCTCTCTGTTATTCTCTTTCTCTATCAGAAAAAAAGAATTAGCTGTTCCTAGAAGTGCTACTATACTGAATTACAACTTTTCATTTACATAATTTCTTTCTTTCATTGGACTAAAAACCTATTGAAAAGTTCTGGGCCTTTCACTGTTGAATTCTTCAAGTCTAGCACAGTGTCACAGCATCATAATAGTTTAATTCGTGTCAGTCCACAAAAAGAAAAATCAAGGGTTTTACCTTTCTCGGTCAAATATCAGAGGATATTCATATTTTTGCTGTTTCTCTGTGAACTTGCTTTCCTCTTTTATTTCTATGGGATATTCAGTAACATCACAAGGCAAAATGAAATCACTTGTTTGTGACAGTTCAAAGATCCTTCGCTGTCCAAAATATCCACAGTAATGACCGCTGAAGGCATTCCAAAGCCTAAGGGACAATAAAGGAAAGGAGGAGAAAGTAACTAGAAAATTCAGTGGAAGTTATCCTGTTCATTAGATCATTTATATAGATTTGCAATAGTCCATCAAAGATTTTAAATTGTAATCCAAGACTCTTCTTATTAAATCTATCGAGCTAATCACAATGTGAACTTTTTTTTTTAGAATTATTTTACTTAACTTTATTTATTTATTTACTTTAATTTGACCAGAGAGGGGCAGAGTGAGAGAGAGAGGTAAAGTGGGAAATCAAGCCACCAGGTCCAGGACTTGAACTGTGGTCAGCCATGTGGGAGTCCAGTGCCCTTAACCACCACAACACCTGCTGGCCCCACAATGTACACTTTCCTTTTGAGGGGGTTTGCCTTAGGTTGTGTGCACTTATGGGGGGAGGGGGCAGAGGGAGAGAAAGAGATAGAGACAATGAGGGGGAAAGTAAGAAGTCACCCCCCCCCCAGTGGGGATGGCCAAGCCACAATCACTTCTCCTTCATTCTTCTCCAGGATCTTGAGCACACACACATACGCACCCGGTGTGATTTTCAAACCACAGGGTCTGAGACTCGAACCACAGTTGGCCACGTGGGAGTCCAGTGACATAACTGGGCCAGCCATCTGCTGGTCCTTGTTTTAACAGCTAGAATTCTAATCTACAACCTTTGTGGAAAATCACGATTTGAATCTGTAGTTATGATACCCATTTGTCAAACCCAGAAAATAAGGAACACACTTTCCCTAAGACAAACTCACCATTCACACTATCCCACACTAAGAGCCTGTTCAGTGATTAGGCCTAAGTATGGGCTGTAGCTAAGCTGTCTGCTTTGTCAGTTAATGTCAGCAGAGCTTGTGGGAGGAGAGACCTAATGATGCTTTTACTATTACCAAATTCCGTTCATCCTCCATCCGTAATTCCTATTATAGAAACACCATACTAATTTTTACAACTAATTTTTTTAATTTATTTTTTTAAAGATTTATTTATTTAATTAATTGTATTTGTTATTATTTATTTTTTAATTTTACCAGAGAGAGAGAGAGAGAAAGAAAGGGAGAGTGAGAAAGTAAGCCACCAAGTCTGGGATTTGAACTGCGGTCAGCTATGTGGGAGTCCAGTGCCTTACCACCATGCCACCTGCTGGCCCTATAACAGAGTTTCTTAAAAGAATGGCAAAAGAAGTGGTTATTTATGCATATGCATTATTTCACCTTTGATTCACTCCAAAAAGTTCCACTAAATAGCCCATGTGGTTTATTTAATGCAATACAGAGTGTCTTTAACAGGAATATATACCCTATGTCTTATGGAAAGATAAAATCATGTTTGGAAGTTTTTTATTAATTTTTTTCTTAACACTCAGAGAAGCAAGTGATGGAAACAATCATCATGTGCCCTACTGCAGTGATCTAGGAGGAAGAGGAAAAGCTGAAGGAACTAAGGTAGATTCTACCAAGTCCAAGTGGCTTCCTGCCTCAAAAGGCTAAGGAGAAGGAAGAAGGAGAAGTATCCGTTTGGGATGCCTCACACTTGACACCATCCTGAAGACTTACCACCAGCATCTTCTATCTCTTGCATATTTTAACTCCCAGCACTACAGAAATGTTCTGGCCTCACCAGAACCTTATGCAAAGGGAAATGAACCAACTCTTTAAAAACACTCAGGTAGAGGGACCAGCAGATGGCATAATGATTACGTCACTGGACTCCCACATAGTCAACTGTGGTTTAAGTCCCAGAGCCAGTGACTTAAAACTCTTGCTGGGAGCATGTGTGTGCATGCCCAAAATCCCAAGAGGAGAATGGAGGAAATGTGGCATGGCCATCCCCGTGGGGGGTGATTTCTCAATTTCTGTCTCTCTGTCTCTATCTTTCTCTCTAGTGAGCTCGCCCACTCTATAGCAACCATATCTCAGAAAACACACATATACTCACACACACACACACACACACACACACACACACACACACACAAACACATAAGAAGAGAAGCAGACTAATTTCAGAACAACTTTAAATTGATTCTGTTATAAACCAGAACTGAAGTAACTTTTGGTGCTCTTGTTTTATGCTGTTTGCTAAACCATGTGGAGCTCTCCCAAATAGCTACTCCTGCCTCTCAGCTTGATGTCCTGGGCCTCTAATTTGGATGCTTCACCATCCTTAGCTTCACTTAGCCATCCTGAAATTTTGTCTTTAGATTGATTTCCTATTCTGTGTCTCACAGATAAGCTTCAGTTAAGTTTATTACCTATGAAAATTCATAATCTTTCCGATAAGCAAGCTTTAGAAAGTGTGAGCTAGAGTTAGTAGTATTGAGATGGAGCCTTTGGGAGATGTTTAGGTCATGAGTGTCCTGCCTTCATGAGTGGGATTAGCATCCTTATAAAAAAATCCTGAAGGATGTCATTTGCCCCTTTTGCCACGTAAAGACACAGCTGAGGGTGCCATTTAGGAAGATGGAAGCGAGCTGAACCCCTTGGTGCCTTGATGTTAGACATACATACCTCTGGAACTGTGAAAAAAATTTCTGTTGTCTACAAATTACTCAGTTTAAGGTATTTTATTACAGCAGCCTGAACCAAGGCATGTGCACATGTAAGAGGGGTGTGTGTGTGTGTGTGTGTGTGTGTGTGTGTGTGTTGCCATCTCCAATTAACACCTCTGCTGACAGGTAGCTAAAAATAAGCTGGAGCAGAGACCCAGAGATCAAAGCTGCTAAAAACCTCTATTAGAATGAAATTTCATGTTCTAAACTTTTCCCACGAATAAAACAAGAGAGGGAGTGGATCTGTTTGTCAAATAGGACCTTGAATTCACATTGAACTCAATATTTCTAAACGTTCTCTATCTTCCCACATTCTAAATATTTTTGTCTTTTCTAGTGCTTTCTATCCTAATGAGTGATACAAACATCCACTTAGTTTTATGTGATAGGTGTGGTTCTTGGGATTCATTACTCGCCCCCCCCTTTTCTTCCAGTTAAAGTTCACATCTTTTTTACCTCTTAGATAGCTCTCAAATTTAACCCACTTATTTCCAGCATTGTTGTCACTTTCCTACTCTAAGTCTCTATGTTTGCTATGGATTTTCTTTTTTTTTTTTTTAAGAGTTTTTTGCCTTAAGGCACATGCACTTACTGGAGAGAGAAAAAGAGACAGAGACAGTGAGAGGGAAAGTGAGAAATCTCTTCTCTTCCATTCTCCTCTTGGGATCTTGGGCATACACACACATGCACCAGTGTTGTTTTCAAGCTACCCAGTCCAGGACTCGAACTGCGGTTGGCCACGTGAGACTCCAGTGACATAATCACTACATCTTCTGCTGGCCCCGTGCTATGGATTTCTCTTTGCTCCCACTTTTACTGCTTTGTAATCCATTCCTCACACACTGTCTTTCAAAAATAAAAGTCAGGGGGTCGGCAGGTGGCATGGTGGTTAAGGGCATTGGACTCCCACCCAGCCAACTGTGGTTCGATACCTCCAACCTGGCAGCTTACTTGGGCATGCTCTCTTTCTCTCTCTCTCTCTCTCTCTCACTCCCTTGCTCTGTCCTTCTCTGGTCTAATTAAAATAAATAAAGTTAAATAAAATAATTCTTTAAAAGAAAATAAAAGTCCTATCATGTTACTCCTCTGCTTAAAACCCTCCAGTGTCTATTTCTTTCAGGGGAAAGATCCAAATCCGTCACAGTGACTACTAGACACTACAGGGCCTTGTCCCTGACAGTATTCTAGCAGCAAGGCTGTGTTAGCCTGGGTCCATTCGATTTCAGCCCAGTGGCTTTTTTTATAACATGACATACTCCTTTCTCTTCATTTTATGTGTAAACTCTCCAATGCATTGTAAGGCCTCTATACCTCTCTTAATCTTACCTAACTTCATTCATTTAAGACAGTAATTCATTACCATGATCTTTAAGCCATTTCAATATGCAGCAATTTATCTCTAGACTTACCACAGTATTTCCTTTCCTTTTATATATGTATGTACTTTCAGCTTTTTGTACATATGTCTCTAGCATTATCTAGGCAATTAAAAACAAGTAGACTTTATAAAATCAATTACATTGTCAGTAAAATAGGTTCGCTTTCCTCAGAATTGTCACTTTTTTTTTTTTTTAATTTGGAAGGGGATGCATGCCCTCCCGGGGTTTTTTAAGAGAGAGAGGGAAAATAAGAAAGCATCCGAAATGGAGAGAAGTCACACCACAGCCCCTTCTCCATTTCTTCTCCCTGTTGGGGTTTTGGGTATGCATGCATATGTACCTAGCATGTTTCTCAAGCTGCAGTCCACCCTGTGGGATCCAGCTGCCTTAACCACCACATCATCAGCTGGCCCAGTTGTCACTTTTTGATGTCTCCTGATTTTGAACCTCCTTCGGTAACCTTTTCTGGGTTTGAGTCTAGTTCACTAAGATACCTACCTTGCTTAATTCTTTGAGAATCCTGCAAAACAGTTCTATTGAAAATACTTAATATATACTGACTGTTCACACTTTATGGCAGATGGTTACAGATACTTGAGACAGTGTGGGAAGAGGGCAGGAGATGGGAGAGAGTGAGAAGAAAGGAATCAAGGATGAAAATAGGGAAGACATTTGAGGGACACAGAAATGGAGGATTGTCTGTTGATAATAATGTGTATGATATCTTCAGCTGGACTGGTGGGAAGTGGGTTCATGTTGGGTAAATTCATTTTACAGGCTGTAGTGATGTACAGTGATTGAATGTATAAAATAGATTAAAATAATTCTTAAAAATATTTATTATCCCTTTAGCATGGAGGAACATGGCATCTCATTTCCTTGGGCGTGAAAGAGAATTCTAAATAAATGACCATCTTTTCAAAGCCCTTTTGTGCAACCTTTTTATTTAATCAGCTCACTAAGATTGTATTTTAGCTGTATAGTTCAACTTCAGTTTAAAATATTTTACTTCTCATATTCAAAACCTTGAATTCACAGAATGGAGTCACCTTGCTTACCTTACCGAGCCATCAATGGAGGAAGTAATAACAAGTTGTTTTTCTTCTACGTAGACTACGTGGATAATTTCTAAAGAATGAGCACGCCAGGAAAGCAGCTGCTTGAATTTCTAGATAGCAACAATAAAGCACATTCCTTGGAATAAGTATATTCTGGTCAAGATTAAATCTTGAACAAAATTATTTTTCAGTGCGCCAAGCTTCTGAGTGAATGGTATAGATATCTATGCTAAATGACTAAATCCATACCCACAAGTAGTTCTCCTCTTGCTTGGTGAGATACCAAAAGAGAGATTTTATGAATCTGCACATATCTTTGGGAGAGAAAGTATCTCCATCTTTAGCAATTTACGGTGTCACTGAGGATTGGCAGTTAATTTAGTTGATGGTTAGTCGATGATGAGATGCAAGAAACATCATGAAAGAGGGTTATAGGGGGACTGAATGTGAACATAATCAGGAACGGGAGTAAACAGAGCTGGAAGGAAAAGACAAAGAGATTGGAAAAAAGGTTTTTCTTATGCTCAGATTTTATCTAGAGATAGCCTGACTGTTTTGTTCTTTTGGATGTGGGGCTGGAGGAATATATTAGGTCATTGGAAAAGTCATGATGCATTTTTGAATGGAGTCACCTTGCTTACCTTACCGAGCCATCAATGGAGGAAGTAATAACAAGTTGTTTTTCTTCTACGTAGACTACGTGGATAATTTCTAAAGAATGAGCACGCCAGGAAAGCAGCTGCTTGAATTTCTAGATAGCAACAATAAAGCACATTCCTTGGAATAAGTATATTCTGGTCAAGATTAAATCTTGAACAAAATTATTTTTCAGTGCGCCAAGCTTCTGAGTGAATGGTATAGATATCTATGCTAAATGACTAAATCCATACCCACAAGTAGTTCTCCTCTTGCTTGGTGAGATACCAAAAGAGAGATTTTATGAATCTGCACATATCTTTGGGAGAGAAAGTATCTCCATCTTTAGCAATTTACGGTGTCACTGAGGATTGGCAGTTAATTTAGTTGATGGTTAGTCGATGATGAGATGCAAGAAACATCATGAAAGAGGGTTATAGGGGGACTGAATGTGAACATAATCAGGAACGGGAGTAAACAGAGCTGGAAGGAAAAGACAAAGAGATTGGAAAAAAGGTTTTTCTTATGCTCAGATTTTATCTAGAGATAGCCTGACTGTTTTGTTCTTTTGGATGTGGGGCTGGAGGAATATATTAGGTCATTGGAAAAGTCATGATGCATTTTTGCATAGAAAAAAATATGTCATGACTTTCTGACTACCCAATACAATAGGAATTAACAGAAGCAATGGACCCAGTTCATTCTTTTTCAAAAACATCATGAGATTTAATTGATATGTTCCTTCAGGATATAGTTTACCCTCAAGTTTAAAACCCATAATAGGTCTCAGAAGACATTTCTAAATCATGTGAACTAAAATCGTTAGCTGGGGAACTTGCTCTGCAGTAACCACCTCCGAGATGTTCCCTCACTATCATTGATGAACTCAGACTAAGACCTTGTTTCTTCCATGGTCATCTCCCTAGGAACACTTGTGTTACTGGAGTTCTGGCAGGTGTGAGTTATCTGTTCATTGTTCTAACAAAGGTTAGGCACAATGCCTCCTAAACTTCTTGGCCTTATGACTCAGTTCTCTCTGGTTGTTCTGAAAGAGCCATGGTAAAATCTTCTGCATTCTCCTAATTCTTACTGTTTCAAAACTATTCAAGAATGATCTGGTCATCCAAGGTTTGTTTCCTGTTTTAGTGAGGTAGGATAAGGGACCTTACAAATATAGTTAGGGTATAGGCCCAAGATGGAATCACAAAATGGCTAAGTTTCAAGAGGAGACAAAGCAGCTCTGCTTGCCCGAGAGAGACCTCTTGAAGTGGCTCAATGATTGACCTAGGCAGCATAACCCAGACTTAAAACAAAGGCTTTTTCCAGGCCGAACCACATTCCAAGAAGAGGATAAGATAATGGTTTTTATGGCCCAAAACCTCTAGATAAAGAATCTCCTGACCTTTGTACCCACTCCAAAATTGGGAAAATAACTGGACCTATCCAACATGAACCCCTCCACACCGCGAGGGGCATGCATGCATGTACCCCACCTAGAACAAGCCTGAACAAGGCCCCTCTGACCTAGATAGAAACCTCTCGTTCAGTTCCTCCTCAGCAACTCATTTTCCAGGACCCCTCCCTTCTTCTTAGGAGCTCTGTTTTTCCTTCCCTATCCTTCAGTAAACTCCCTGCTTTGCTATAACTACTCTCTGTGTCCGCGTCTTCCTGAGCGTCTTCCTTGTCTCATTGCAAGTGCTGGACCTGATCACCCCTGTGTCCCTACATTCCTACATCATTAGGATAGCATTCTCCAATGCAAGTGTTTCTCTAACATGGACTCTATCTATTGCAAGATAAACATTTACTTCCTGCTGCAGTAAAACACATATGTTCCTGCCTGTGTATCTAAAAGAAGTTCACAAAAAGATGCTTTAGTATGTGTAGACCAGTATTGTCTATTCTATTCTATTGCATTGTATGTTATTTCATTCTCTTCTATTTTTACAAAAATACTGGTTGCAACTCAAAACTAATTTCATGATCCTTTAATGGATTACAGACTGCAATTAGAAACTGGGACTACCTTTTATATATGTGTATAAATATAATTAGATATATAATGTCTCTTTGTGGAGAGATTTTGACTATTTATTAGAATATCTATAGTCCACCTTACTCTCTCCCAACATTGTGTAACAGTTTATCAAACATGTTATGAGACTGTAAATACTTGGGACCAGCAGTTGGTGTAATGGCTATGTCGCTGGGTTCCCATGTAGTCAACCACGATTTAAGTCCCGGACCCGGTGGCTTAAACTCACGCCAGGTGCATGTGCGTATGTGTCCAATATCCCGAAAGGAGAATGGAGGAGAAGGGATTGCAGCGTGGCCATCCCTCCTAGGGGGTGATTTCTCGCTTTTCTGTCTCTCTTTCTCTCTTCTTCTGGTGAGTGCATGTGCCCTCCCAAAATAACCTCTCAAAAAAAAAAAAAAAACTACAATATTGAAAATCATTACTATCAGGAAAAGAAAAATTAGGTCAGGTTTCTTCTAAACATGGTTCAAGCATGAGATTTGTTTTTGTTAGTCTTAAAATATGTTTTGATTTTATGCCATTTATAGTTATTAGTTAATAAAACTTGGTATTTCACAAGTTGTTTGAATCTTATTGTCTTCTATTTGAAAACAGTGAGTGTTATATATGGGAAGAGCATTGGACTAGAGAACAAAAACCATGGTTTTGGCTTTGATTTTGTCATTTACTAGCTCCATGACCCAAGGCAAGCCATTCTGTGATTCTGCCTCTGCAAAATGGAGACAATCATGCCAAAGCTGGAAGTCTGCACTTTAGGGGACCAGCAGTTGGTAAATGGCTATGTTGCTGAACTCCCATGTAGTCGACCGCAGTTCAAATCCTGGACCCGGTGGCTTAAACTTATGCCGGGTGCAAGTGCATGCGTGCCCAAGATTCTGAGAGGAGAATGGAAGAGAAGGGATTGCAGCGTGACCATCCCCCTGGGGGGTGATTTCTTGCTTTCTGTCTCTCTGTCTCTCTCTGTCTTTCTGGCAAGTGCACGTGCCTCATAGCCAAAACCTCTCAAAAAATAAAAATTTAAAAAAAGAAAGAAAGAAAGAAAAAGAAAAAAATTCTGCACTATAGAAAAACTGCAATGGATCATTTGAAACAAAAAGAAAATTCCAGGGCCCACCCCAGAGTGCAGCAGTTAAGCCCTGTGCATATGAATCCAGCTCCCACATCATTAACATCTGTCAGATCCTGATCTTGGCAGCTTGAAAAACATGCCTGGCACATATGCATTCATGCTGAAAATCCTGATGTGGTAGAGATAGGTAGGAAGAAGGAGTATGTGACCATGCCTAACTGAGGGCTCTTTCTTTCTCCCTGGTGAACTCACTCACCCTATAGCAATTTTTTTTTTTTTTTTTTGTATTTGCCATAGGGCATATATGCTCATGGTAGAGAGACAGAGAGGGGGAAAGTGCAAAATCACCCTCTAGGAAGGATGGCCATGCCACAATCACTTCTCCTCCATTCTCCTCTCAGGATTTTGGGCTCTTGTGCATGCACCTGGCTTGATATTCAAGCTGCCAGGTCTGAGATTTGAACCATGGTCGGCCATGTGGTAATCGAGTGCCTTAACTACCATGCCACCTGCTGGCAATGTTTTAAAAAAAGAAAATTCTATTGATCAAATAAAATAATGTGTGAAACAATAACCACTCTACGGCACTAAAGCAAGGAATCAAATCATAATCTATGCATCCATATTTTAGTACTTATGATCCAAAAATAAAACATTACTATTTAAGCTAGTATTTAGCTTTTGGATTTAAAGTATTGCTTTAAAGAGAAATAAGGCTGTGATAAAAGTCTTTTCTTGGTGCAATCTTTAATTAGTATTGAGTCTTTATCATATGTGTAACATTCACACAAGTAGTGTACATTTAAATGTTTATAAAATAAGAGATATTTACATTGCATAAACACTAAGAAATAAGATGTGCTTAAATTATAAGAAGGAATCAGACTTCATATAAAGATAATTTCTTGAAAATAATTGTTGTATACTAGGTTTACAACAAAAGGTTCTGCTATGTCTTGTGACAACATATAAGATACAAAAACTGGCTGTGAAAGACTATATGATGAGTAAACTTTTAAAAACTCTAGGTTTCGGGACAAACAAGTGGCGTAGTGGTTAAGGCACTGGACATTCCCACATGGCCAATCACAGTTCGAGTCCCAGACCTGGTGGCTCTCTCAATTTCTCTCTCTCTCTCTCTCTCTCTCTCTGTCTATCTCTGGTCAAATGAAAATAAATGATGAATAAATAAAATAAAATTAAATAATTTTTAAAAACTCTAGGTTTCTACATAGATTCTTACTAATAAGTCAAAACACGAAGAAGATGCAAAGTGACCAGTTGCCAGTTGACTCACCCTTCTCTTCTCCTCTTCCCTCCCTCCCACATTTATTTTTCTCCCCCTTTTACCAACAGACCATTATTATTAGTTATAGAGATCAAACTGTAATGGCATATGTGCCTTGGAAGTAGGAGTCTTGTAGTCGGTCTTTTGTGTTGTCTAGAACAGCGGCATGCTAAGTAAGTATATGCTTATTTATCAGTTAAAGTGAAAAACAAGTTCTTACCTTTTCATCATGAGGCGGATCAAGGAAAGAGCTAATACTGCAAAGGATAACATGTCCTTCTGCATAAAATGTGAACAGTAGAATATTTAAGAAGATATCCTGTTATTTAAATAAATACGCCCAGTCTGCCAAGTTTTTTGACTTAGGCATTTAAAATGGTAATTAAAGTAGAATATGAGAAACTGAACATTAAATAAGAAATATAGCGAACCCACTTATAAGAGACACCTAGAGTAGTCAAAGTCAAAGATTTTAGGCATGCCTGTATAAATGGTAGCACATGCTTCATGTAGAAGAGAACTCTTCAGGAGACATACTTTCTAAATGTTTCCCGAGTTAGCTTACTTTTTCTCTCTTTTTAGTGTCATTCAGTTTGCTGTTGAAGACTACAGGTAGATTGTCAATAAGTTTGGGATTGCTTGATACGACTTTAATAATTAGTTTCAGCTTACCCGTTTTCTTTTTGCCACAAAAAATAAGTCAAACTTGATCAGAGACTTTAAAATAAAATGCAATATTATAAAACTCCCAGAAGATAACGGAAGAGAAAATGTAGATGACCTTGGGTTTTGTGATACAACACCAGAGGTATAATCTATGAAATAAATAATCGGTAAGTTGGATTTCATTAAGGTAAAAAATGCCTCTCAAAAAGACATTGTCAAGACAACAAGAAGACAAGCCACAGATTGGAAGAAAATATTTGTAGAAGACACATAGGATAAAAGAAGAAAAACAGAGAGGAAGAATGAAAAAAAGTAGTAGTAAATGAAAAATTAAGACCAACTATGTTGATTGTAAAAATATAAAATAAAGTTTTCTATTGTGAACAAATCATTTCTCTCCTGTCTAGTTTTAGTATCAGTGAAGACTAATGCAACATAACATGTTCAATGTTAAAAATTAAATCTTTCTATTTTCCCCAATAAATATAGGGATGGTTAGACATTTACACATTTTAAAGATGGAAGAACTAGAACATTTTGCTCTAAGACCTAGGAATAAAATAGGTTTTCCCGAGATTCATTAATTATTCTCTTTATTCAGCAAGTTATTCGTAAGACCGTCTCTTGCTTGAGAATACCTCTTAATCTTTCTTTTGTCTCAGTAAATGTCATGTACTTTCCCTCTAGCCATTTTTATATCACGTGGGTTGTTAAGATACCTGTGGCTGAATATACTGTATGGAAGTAAGGACTTACCCACATTTCCAGTCAGTAGTATCCTGGTACACGAATCAGTATGCAGTGTCGTCAGAGAAATGGCAGAATGTTTTGTGAAAGGTAGCATGTCTTTCAGTAGTCTTCCCTGAATAAAGTATAGCACAAACGATTTTGTTCTATGATGATACATTCTGTAAAATCTTATTATCAATGTTTATTTTCTCTCTGAATAATGTATCTCAAGAATTATCTCTACTACTGAAACACGATTCTCTTCTTCCACCTTTCACGATTCTCTTTATATGCGTGAAATGAAGTCTTCTAAAGGTACAGACATCTATTAACTATGAGCATCTAGATTCTGATTATTACAGAGTGTCTCTACTGCTGGGATCGTTTTTGCACATCCCATGACTTTTTTCGTGCTATTCCTCAGACATTTTCAGTGACATCATCTCCATTTAAACAAACATTCTTTTTTAGGTCTAAGTGTGGCTCAGTTGTTTCAAATAGGAATATTTTTGCCTTTTCAGAAATACGTATCTTTGAGTATTGGTGCAAGATAAGGGAGTCTAGGAGATTTGGATTAAGACAGCTGATAGTTTTTTGGTGATTAGTGTAAGCGAGCCTTGGGAAGGACTTTCAAATGTTTTATCTCACTTTAAGAAAAACATCCAAGCTGGAAAAGAGAGACCTAAGTCTGCTTTTTATTTTCTGAGACTTTACTTGGATCTAATCTCTTCTGTTTCTTTCACTGTATTATTTCTCACGGGAAAAAAAAAAGATGAAAAAAATTGCTCTGATACCCAGCCTATCTCAGAAAGTTTTTGTTGGAATATTTTGTGTTTCAAACCAAGAGTTTCCCACTAATTGAGGACGGACTTGGGAATTTTATCCAGCAGATAGCATGCTGCTTATGTTAGTCTGATCCCATTATCTGCCTTACAGCACTGTTGCTGCTTTCTGAGTTTCCCTGTAGAAGCCTTTCCACAAGGACCACCTCTCACCTCTTATGATTTCATTGTCATCATCCCTCTTCTACTCAAGACTGTTCCTTTTATCATCTTCTGTCCACCTAATTCAAAACCTGTCTGCTTTCCACACCAAGTTATTTAAAATGTTTTGGTAAATAAGATATTTTGTGGGGCTGGCAAGTGGTGTGGTGGTTCAGAACACTGGACTCCGAACCATGGTTCGAGTCCCGGACCTGGTAGCTTGCTTTATCACTCTCTCTCCTCTCCCTCCCTCACTCTGTCCCTCTCTGGTCAAATGAAAATAAATAAATAAAGTTACATAAAATGTTTCTTTTTAAAAAAGGTTTTTCTTTTGTTTGTTTTTTACTTTAAAGTGTTTAGGATATGCAATATGATTTAATACCATCTCCCAATACTTTTGATAAGTAAAAATTTATGGTACATCAACATTTCAGTGTTCTCATATTCTTTTACTGTAATACAACATTAATATTATTTAAATATTCAATAAAATATTTAGTGGCATGTATTTGTACCCTAACTTAAAAGACTTAAAATAGCTAAGCTAGTAGTTTTGATGATTTGATATTTTAAGTTACAAAACTGGCCTCTTGTACCATTTAAGTTAGAGTAGGGGCATCAGTAAGCAATTTGGCTAGGAGATGGAAAAATACTGGATTAGGATGCCATAGGATGAAGACCAAGATTAGCTTAATTATCCTTTTTAGCTTCCCATCCTTTCCTATTCCCAGTAAATATGGGGCTCCATCACCTCCATAGTCCACAAACGGAGGTGTCCATCTTCATGAGCCGTGACAATGAGAGGTGGCTGAGCTTCTGTTAAGTTGTCACCTCTAGGAGGTTTTTTGTTGACTGAGTGTTGCTCTCCCATAACATCTGTTTGCTCACCTGTCAGAGAAATTAATGAGCTACTCCAGCATTTGCAATACGTGGAATTGCAAATACTGTGGAATGTAAAAGAGGAAGCATGCAGAAAAATAGCAAAAGCAACACATTCCTTGCCACAGGGTTTTGTTTTGGTCTTGGTTTTGCCAGGGAGTGCACGCAGTCGCTAGGGAGAGAGCATGAGAGAACGAGAAAGCACTTCCCCCATCCTTATTTTCCATTTCTCCATCCTGTCAGGATTTGGGCCATGCATGCATGTGCATCTGGCGTGTTTTTCAAGCTATTGAGGCCAGGATTTTAATTGCATTTGGCCATGTGGAATTCAGCTTCCAATGCACAGGGTGTGACTGCTTACTATGGAACCAGCCCCTAAACTCCAGAGAACTTCAGTCAAGACAGAGAACAAAAAACACTGAAAACTGGAATCCTGGGAGTTGTACAGTGGTTCAGCAAAAAATACTCAGTGAAGCTGACTCACACAGGAAGATTCTGGGTTTGCATCCAGAGACCTCCCTGAGTTTGCTGGGTATGCACCTAAGATATGTGGATGGCTGAAGCTGGTGTGGGATCATGGCATCAAGTTCCTGTTGAGTTTCCTCTCTCTCTCTCTCTCTGTTTGTCTTGCTCATAAAAGAAAGAAATGAACTTTAAAAATTGAAATGTTGGATCACTTGGAAAATATCAAAAGGTTATTTTTGATTCTGTTGCAGAAGTCTATATGTTGCACAAAACAGGTAAACCTAGATATTCATCCAGTATTAGTCTTACATGTCCAGAATTGCTTATTCATCTAGTATAAATTTTAGGAGAATGGTCTGGAGTTCTAAGATGATCAATAATGTTTGAAGTTTTAAACCGATAATTATGGGCTAGCCTGTGGCCTGGCAGTTATGTGAGGTGGATCCCCTATGGCAACTACACAGTTGGAGTCTCAAACTCAGTAGTTTGAAAAACACACCAGACCCATGTGTGTGCATGCCCAAAATATCCCAAGGAGGGAGAGATGGAGGCGAAGGGATTGTGGCGTGACCATCCCGTATTGAGGTGGTGGTTTCTCGCTCCACCTCCCACCTTCCCATGGCTTTCTGGCAAGCACATGCACCCTCTAACAAATTTTAAAAAAAAAAAAAAAAGCCACCCCTTCCCCCCAGAATTGCTATTTGGAAAGGCATCATCAAAAGCTTAGCTGAGGTGGTGCAAGCTGGTGGCTGAGGCAGCATGGGAAGAAGCCCACATTTGGTTTCTGGCCTGACCTGAACAGCCTGAGGGTGGCGGCACTCACCCATGGTCTTAGCTAACTGGGAGGCTAGGGCAGGGGGACAGGAGGTGGCAAGACCCTCTCCAAAATAGCTGCCTCGCTTTTCCTCCCTCTTTCTCTCCCTCATGAGGGAAAAAAAAAAAAGCGTCATCATAATGGAAATTCTGCCTCTTAGCATACCAAATCCTGTAGTACCTCGACATTTGGAGACGGAGGAATACATACTCATTAAGAACATTCTATAAACTAAACTCCCCATTGCAAAATAGTCATTTTATTTTAAGGAAGAAAGGTGATTTTATACTGACCTTTAACTTCACTGTCATGTATGCTTTGCTTGCTTCCCTGAATTAGGGGAGAAAATGAGAAAATATTTCTATGACATTATAAGGAACTGAGATATGCTGCATAAGCAGACTCTCCAGATAACTGAATTTGTGTTTGTAAACCCTCATTTCGTAATTACTTTTAGAGTATTGGGTTGTTGGGAAAGTCATCCGCATTTTTGCATAGAAGAATACATCAGGATTTTCCCGACAACTCAATAGTTCTTGGCAAAACTGTGGCAGAGGTCTCCATGTTCATAAATAGAGTCTCTCATATATCCCAGCAGGCTGCTGCTGTCTCAGGTACAGCTTAGAAATGGAAGGAATTAAATGCCTTCCCAGTTCTTGGAGTATATTGTCTCTAATTCTATGAACAATCAAGCAATGTAGTCTTTATTATTCTTTTTTTTTTTACTGATGCCAAAACAGAAACTCAATCTAAGTGACATCTCCAACACGAAGCACATAATGATAAATAGAAGATTTGGATTCAAGTACAAGTCTGTCTCTGGCTTTTACATATATTAAGTTATTCTTTCCATCCTTCTGGAGATTTTGAAATAATTTTTTTTTCCTGTGAAAATTTCCTTCAAACAGAATCCCAGCTAGAAATGTAATGTGTAAAAATATGTAAAATTAGACCTGAGAACACAGTGTGATAACTAATGCATAATGTTATGTGTTGTAATTACACATTAAGTATTGTCTCTTCTCCCTATAAAATATGTATAACACTTCCTTCTTAGCAGAAGAGATAGTCTAAAGTTATTATTCATATGAATTATTTTATTATTTTATAAACATAAAAACAAGATGAAGAATTTATTTTATTACAGGTCATGTATTGATTATTTATACATGTAAAAGCCTTGAGAAAAATGGAAAACAGTTTAGATATTTATTTTTAGGGAAAACAAAGTTTTTACATACACCCAAACACAGAATTTTTCCACCTTTTCCTCTATCAATGGAAGAGCGCAAATGCTCAGTATCCCTTTTTGAGCCCACACCAAGTGTAACGAGAAGACACTATTACGTGCTGACCTTGCTACTCTGTGGACCCCTGCTAGAATCACACTGAGAGGAAGAGCATATGGAATCCTGACTTGATTTCCTAAAAAGTGAAAGAGAAAGACCAAGAAGGGAAAGTTAAGATATTCCATCACATTCGAAGGGTGCTCTTCTCTGTTTTAATTTCAGTTGATCACTTCTTTTATCATTCATGGATACCGAGTCATTAAAAAAACAAATCACACCTCACATTTTAAGGAATGTTTGCCCTACCGTGCTTCCGAAGGGCACCTCGGCAAATAAGGCTTATTGCTGCTTGGATCTGGGCGTACAAGCCTGGCCCTTCCCTTGGCTAAGGCTAGATGAATTCCCAGAGGTTCTGACACAGGAGAGGTTAGGAAGAGGGTGACAATGACCGACCCCCTGCTCTACAATGTCTAGTTCTGGCCTGGTCCAGTCACTGTTGTGCTCTGCTAGAATAGGGTGAGAAATGGCTCAGGGGGTTGATGCAGATGTGTACAGAGCAAGTATTCAAAACAGTCTCAGAATAGTTGTGGTGATGTTTTGGACCATGATCTAGGGAAGGTATTCTATTTTGCCTCAGAGTTTGGTGATCCAAAACCAGTACAGAAACTTGACTTCTGTCCAAAGATGGGTTTTACATTGTTACCTGCAAACCAGAAGTCTCAAGTAAATATTAAATACTTGATAAACAATCCCCTGCTCTCTCAGAAATGGAGGGAGAGTGCTCCGTTACGGTGGACGGTATTTAAAACTTGTAATAGGATCTGCTTGTCCTGCAAGTCCTTCCTTCTGTTTCACATCTCCCAGTTAGATTTTGGCTAAAGATTGGTCTGTTGAGCATTTCCCATTGATGCTCCTGTTGTCAAGAGAGCTGTGAGTCTGACATGAGAAGGGGACCACACAGCACATTCAATTCCCAAGGACCACCCCACTTACAGAAAGATGGTAGGAGGGAAGCACTTGGAAGCCAGGTAGTCAGCTTAATTGGTGTCTTCCTTCAGTTGTCCTTCCTTAATCGTGGGAATGATGAGAACTCTTTGTATCACCCACCCAAGTCCCAGCCAGAATTACTTGATTAGTAAGTACTGAATTACCGTGCACATTCAGGGGTACGGAAGAGGAACAGTATGTCATTAATTCTAAAGCGCTTGGGATCCAAGTCAGGGTCCACAGTAGAACAATCTTCAACTCGGTATCTGGAAAGAAGCATGTATTTTCATGTCAAAAATTTAGAGCATAGGTAACTTAAATTAGTGACTTAGATCACATATCCCCTGCAGAGCTAATCAGTTCTTCAAATGTTGATATCATTGAGCCTGAAGAGAAAACCCAAAGATGAAGGTTTGAACATATCTTTTAAAAGGCTCTGTAATATAATATGATAGATCAGTGGTCTTCTAAACGTCTTTTAACCAACTGGTCTTATCTCCCTACATATGAGTCAGAGAATAGGCTTATATAAACCTGTAGAGGAACCTCTTAGGCGTTTCATACACTTCAAGTTCTATTCTTTGAATAAGTAGGGTGATAAATGTGAATAAAACATGGCTATTATCTTCAAGGAGAGAAGAACAGGTAATTCTGTGATTACACTGCTCTTGTTGCTCAAGTTCCCTGTTGACCTAGATTCCAAAGAAACACACATATTCCTCAGCAGATTTCTGGGAACAGAGCAATACTCCCTAGTTGTCTGTGCTGGTAAGTGATGCTTGGCTCTGAAAAATCACACCTAATATTCCCTATAGCACATAGACCTTAAAAAATGCTCCTTTTCTTTTAGTGACAGTCGTTGCTAATTTGAGCTCATGAGTGATGAAGGAATCTCCTGGGGAGGGAATCCAGCTCCAAATAGAAGCCTCCAGTCTTGAAGACTTGTGGAGCTCAAACTTTATCAATATTTCTACTCTTCAGATGAATCGTGATACAGATTATTACTTAGTAAGAGAAATATTGAGTTTAGACCCCCAAAAAGCATAGATCAGGAGAGAATGGTTATTTTTTCTGACTGGTGAGGGAATCTTAGGCAAAGTTTGAAATGGACATATATATAGCTTTAACCATGAATATGAAATCGTTATCAATGTTAGAACCTTTAAAACTGGGTCTAGATTACCTTACGTAGTGCTGTGCTAAATTGTTTTACAAAATACTTCAATGATTCTAAATCAATTGCTTTTATATAATTATATGCCTAGAGAAGGGGGACACTATGTAGTTAGAGTTTTTTGTTTGTTTGTTTTTGTTTTTTCCCTGATGGGGGTTAAATTTACATGCATCTCTTGCTAAATACCTGGCACTTCAAGAAGGAGGATCTCTGTCTTTAAATTAAGTTATTCTCAAAAGAATTGCCCTCCTCTTTAGGCTGTGCCATCAAGACTATGATATTTTTAGTCTGTCTCCTTTCCACTCCGAGTAGTGAGTCACGCACGAGCTAGCAGTGTGCGGGTGAGGAAGTGTGTAGTGCGTGTAGGTGTGGGTATTAGACGAGAGCCATGCAGTCTGTGACAAAAAACAGGGCAGTAGTTGAAGAGAGAAAACAGGAGTGACAGCAATTCTAGGAACAGGACCCCAGAGAACATGGAATGAGTTGCAGAGGGAGGGATCTACAGAAATAGCTATTGCAACTAAAGGTTCAAGGGAGAATAAATTCAGAGTCCAATCAGTAAAGATATATTTCCTCTCAGAAGTTGCCTAAAATACAATGCATTTGACTAGGGATTAATGGCCAGAATATGCAAGGAACTCGAGTTTTTTAGCAGGAAAAAAAACAATAACCCAGTTTAAAAATGGGTCCATGCTGTCCCCTAGCACAGCAGTTAAAGCTCTGCACAAAGGAGGCCAAATCCCACATGGCACACCTGGGTTTGAGTCCTGGCCCTGGCAACTTGGAAAACACTGGACATATGTGTGCCCAGGATTTGATGGGATGGAGAATTGGAGAAAAGAGACTGTAGTATGACCAGGCCCCAACGGGGGTTTTTTTTTCCCTTTTCCTCTCTCTCGCCTCTCTCTCTCATGCATATGTATACTCTGGCATTTAAAAAAATTGGGCAAGTAACCTGAATAAACAATTCTCAAAAGAATACATACAGATGTCCAATAAATACATGAGAAAATGCTCAGCATCACTAATCATTAGGAAATGCAAATAAAAATCACTTGAGATATTCTAATCACCCCAATTCGAATGCCTAGCATCAAAAAGATAAAAGATAATAAATGCCAGTGAGGATGAGGAGAGGAGAGACCCTCTTTTACACTGTTCATGGGAATGTAAATTAGTCCAGCAATTATGGAAAACAGTATGGAAGTTCCTCAAGAAACTGAAAATAGGACAGCCATATGACCCAGCAGTCCCACTGCTGAGTATGTATTCAAAGGGAAGGAATCAGTATGTTATAAAGATTTCTGTACCTCAGTGTTTACTGCAGCACTATTCACAACAGCCAAGATAGGCGATCAGCCTGCGTCCATCAGTAGATGAATGGATAGAGAAAACATGGAATATATAGATATATAGACATAGATATAGTGGAATATTAGCCATTCAAAAGGACAAAATCCAGTTCATTTGAGGTTAAATAGGCAAACATGAAAGACATTATGTTAGGTGAAATAAGCCAGGCTCAGAAAGAGAAATACCATATGTTCTCAGTGACTCATAGAAGTAGAGGGACGTAGAATGGCTACAAGGCTGGGAGGGGTGGGGTAGGGGATTAGAGGGAGGTCGAATAATGGAAACAAAATTATATATAGATAAGAGGCACAATGTCTACTCTTATAAAATATAAGTGGGTGAATACAGTTTATAACTTACCGTCCAAGTACCTGAGGGCCGTATTTAAAGGTGCCTGGTACTAAGTAGCGGCAGATGGCCGAGATGATCTGTATGCCAGTCGCCCTGATTTGCTCGTTGTGCCTTGTGGTGTTATACTGAAGGATCACATTTTGCCCCCACAAGTATGTACCACCATTATATGTTAATAAAAAAAAATTATTTAATTTAAAAGTGGGCTAAAAGTAGTAGCTCAGACCTGGACAGAAAGGGGACTTAAGTTCCAAGTAGACTAGTAGTATATAAGGTACTGTAAATAGGCAGAGATTTCGTGTACATTTTCCTCTTCTTTTCCCTCGTCCTTTCCTATTCTCTTATACCTCCTCCTTTATATCTCTTCCTCCCTCGGAGGCTTCATTTTATTTTCATTTGTTTTTAAGGTTCTTGGCTATCTTGTATCTTAAAGTAAAAATTTACAGGCCTCCTTAACAGAGAGTATCCACACGTGGTCCCTACATACACCTCGATTCTGCAATTGGGTAGAGATTTTTATTTACAACCCACCCATGCAAATAATAAAATGTTACATTCTTTCTTTTACAATGAATGGCAAGAACATTTAGAAATGAATGGCAGGGGTGGTGGGTAGAGGTTTTGGATATGGTACAGAGCAAATCTAATTGGTCGACATGTAAAATTGCATCTGACATACTGGTCCTTCTTAGCACCATCCTGTAATGAACTGGATTTGTTAGTTTGGTGAACAAGGAGGAAAAGACATCTAGGATGCCTCTCACCATTTGACTTTGGGGACTAAGAGGATGACGGTGGAACTGAGATAAAGGAAGAGGAGAAGTTTGGAAGGAGAGGGAAGGTTGTGAAGGCTTTGGGCATGTGCGGCTATAAGGGTGTTGGTGGTGATACAGTGGAAATTGCCAATAGGCAATTGAATGTGTATGTGAAACTCTGGGGAGACTAGCATTTGAAATTATTATGCATTTTATGTATTTGTCAAAGTCATACATTTGGACAAAAATCAAACATAAAAGCATGTACAAGTGTGAGAAGAGAAAAGGTCAAAGCTCTTGGGAATACAGATACTTTAGGTTTATTATTCATACCATTCTAGGGTTAACATCCTTAAAACACAGTCTCTGTGTGAGTATAACTTCCAAAAAAGACTCCCTTGGAGAGTTTTCACCAATTTAATTTATTCTTCATTATTATTATTATTACTCTTTTTGAGTCCTGAATATTACTTTGGTTCTTCTGAAGTATAATGTTTTTTTTTTTTGAGAGGTTTTCACTATAGGGCACTTGTGCTCGCCAGAAAGACAGAGACAGACAGAGATAGAAAGTGAGAAATCACCCCCTGGGGGGATGGCCACACTGCAATCCCTTCTCCTCCATTCTTCTCCCGGGATCTTGGGCATTTATGCACACAAGCCCGGCATGAGTTTAAGCCACCGGGTTCGGGACTCAAACCATGGTCAACTACATGGGAGTCCAGCAACATAGCCATTACACTAACTGCTAGTTCCTGAAGTATAAACTATTATTGTTTCAAGAAAAGACACAACTTACACTTCTTTGACTGTACACGTTACAAAATTCCATAAGATGATCACACCATTTAAGGTTCCAGCAACTATCAAATTGTATCCTTCTCCTTGTAATACATCAATGCAGTTTACTTCAGTACCAATGGCAGGATTCTGAAGAATAAAAGAAAATAAGACTCTCTGACCTTCAGGAATATATTTAGCTGGAGTACAAACATTATGTGCACAATTTGTAATCATTAACTAAAAATGAAATATCATATGCATATATATTTAAGTTCGAGAGCATGAAAATCAGCAAAATCCATTCTTTCTGGCATTAAAAAATGTTAATTTTGTAGAATTCATTAAAAAAATAAAACTATGCCATCCATCTCTACTAGCTCCTCTCTGTCTGCCTTGATTTATTTTCTCTTACCAACTATTAGATTACTTCTGCATCTTCCACTTCAAATGTTTGGAAAGAATGTTCTGTGTTAGCTATTTTCACTTACTGACCTTTCTTTCACTCAACAACTCTGATTATTTGGCTTCTGCTTCCTACCACCCTGTAGAAGCTTTCTCTATTTATCAATAAGAAGTTCTAGTGCCAGTTCTATTTAATACTTTTCATTTGCCGTTCCTCGAGTATTTGTTGGGCATCTACATGTAGAATGACTACTAGATGCTGGGAAGGATGACAATAGGGTGATGTTAGTCAACAGAAACAAAATTGCAGACAGATTGGAGGAATAATAGCTAGTCTTATAAAATACAATGGAGAGAATGTGGTTAACCACAACTTACTGTATATAATGCTATGAGTAGTTGAGATGAGGGCATACTAATTATCTGGATTTAATCATTTCACATTGTGTTTGTGTGCTGAAAACTCACATTGTCACAATTAATGTGTTAATAAAAATTATTTTTAAAAAGAGAAAAAAAGAGTTTGAATATGCAGCACTATATTACCCCTCAAAGAACTAGAAAAAGAACAAACTAAATTCAAAGGTAGCAGTAGGAAGGTAATAAAAAAGTTTAGAACAGAAGTAAGTCAAATAGAAAATAGAAAATCTACAGATAATCTAAAAATCAATAAAACTAAGAGTTGGTTTTCTGAAAAAAATAAAATCAATAAACATTAACTCAGCAAAAAGAGAGACTCAAATATATAATATCAGAAATAAAAATGAGGACATTATACAGATGATTGAGAAATAAAAATCATCCTAAGGGACAATGATGAACAATTACATGCCAACAAATTTGATAACCTAGAAGAAATGGATACATTTTTAGAAAAATACAACCTACCAAGAGAATCAGGAAGAAATTGAAAACTTGAAATGACCAGTAACAAAGAAATAGAAGTAGTCATTAAAATTTCCCAAGAAAAAAGAGCTTACAACCAGATAGCGTTACATGAGTTCTACCAAAATTTCAAGGAAGAATTAGTACTAATACTCCTTAAGCTCTTCCAGAATATAGAGCTGGATATAATACTTTCAAACATGTTTCATGAGATCTGCATCTCCTTGATACTTAAGCCAGCCAAGAATATCACAAGAAAAGTACAGGCCAATATCTCTAACAAATATGGATGCAAAATTTTTCAATAAAATATTAGCAAATTAAATTCAACAACACATTGAAAAGATTATACATCATGGTAAAGTGAGATTTATCTCTGGCCTACAAGGCTGATTTAATTAAGCAAATCACAGGACCAGCAGATGGTGTAATGGTTACGTCACTGGACTGTCACATAGTTGACTGTGGTCCGAGTCCTGGATCTGGAGGCTTAAACACAAAGGACACATGGGCATGTGCCCAAAATCCCAAGAGGAGAATGGAGAAGAAGGAATTGCAGCGTGGCCATTCTCCCAGGGAGTGATTTCTTGCTTTCTGTCTCTCTCTGTCTTTCTGGTGAGCGCATGCGCCTATAGCAAAAACCTCTCCAAAAAAACCTTTTTTTTTTTTTTTTTTGAAAATAATAGTATCATTTGGGACCAGCAAATAGCATAATGGCCACATCACTGATCTCCCATGTAGGTGACCATTGTTTGAGTCTCAGACCCGGTGGCTTAAACTCACACCAGGTGCATGTGCGTGCATGCCCAAGATCTCGAGAGGAGAATGGAGGACGAGAGATTGCGGTGTGGCCATCCTCCCAGGAGATGATTTCTCACTTTCTGTCTCTCTGTCTTTCTGGAGAGCACACATGCCCTATAGCAAAAATTTCTCAAAAAAAAAAAATAGTAGTAGTGTCACTTTTGGAAGAGTCATTATTTAAAAATATACTAAAATATTTGGGGACACGATGATATAAAGTCTGTAATTTTATTCAAAATCTATTGGTAGTAGACATAGGAAATGATGAGAATAAAGAATAAGTTTGGCCTTATATAGAAAATTTTTGAAGCTGAGTAATAGTACATGAAACTCACTCTTTATTTTCTGTACTTTTATATACTTTCATCATTGTCCATAACAAAAAGTCTAAAAGTAAAAAAAAAATCAAGAAATGGGGGCCAGATGGTGGCACAGAAGTGAAACACAACACTGCAAGGACAGCCACGTTCAAAGGTTACCAGTTCCAATGGAGAGACGTTCCTGAGTATACCAGGCATGCATGTGCCCATGATCTGAGCTGGCTAAGGCCGAGAGTGGATTGCGGTGTTGTGACCCTGTTAGGGGTGCTATTTCTCTGTCTCATTCATTGAATAAACAAATAAACTTTAAAAAGTCAAGGAGTGAAACTTACATTAGTGTGTTGAGGAGGGTTTCCCCCAACTATTAATTCGATATCTGGGAAAGGAATAGCCAAGCTCCTATCTTTAGTAAATGTTCCCAGATGCACAATGCGATTCCCGTCTTGTAGAAGAGGCACAGCATCAGGCAGTTCCCATATCACCACTAGGTACGAGTCATCTTCCTTACCCTTTAATAGAAACCCAGTGAGTACAGAAACAGTTCTGTTAGCTTGTTTGGGCTGTCTTAAAGAGATAAACACAACATACACTGAATTTTCCACCATACAGCTTTATCAGTTATTAAGCCCTGTCTATCTCTTACTAATTAGTTTCTTATTCTTATTTCCTCCCTGAGTAACCAGAAACCTGAATATGGTGTTAGCCATGAACGTTTTTAACATTTTACATAATTCCTCTCTCTCTATATATATATATATATATAGATAGATAGATAGATAGATAGATAGAGAAAAATATAGATATATATTATATTACTATCAGATTTTTAACCAGTTTATAAATGTTATAAAGCTGTGTGAATTCTTCAACTTGCTTATTTTACTCAGTATTATGTTTTTGAAATTATACAAGTGATTACATGAAGCTCTATTTTTAACTGCTTTACAGTATGGAATGAATATATTATTATTTATTTGGCCATTCTGTTATGTATGTCCAGGTGGTTGGCAGTTTTTCATTACTTCTTTTTATGGACAAGTGCCAGAGTTTCTAGAGTATAAGCTTGGAGTAGAATTATTGAACTGCAAGACATGTATGTCATCACCTTTACTAGATGTTGCCGAGTGGTTCTTTCAGGTTATCCATGCCCACTCTCACCAGGAGTGGATGAGGTTCCACTTTCTTCACATTCTTCTCCACACTTGACATTACTTGATGGGTTCGAAATGGGACTTTAAAAACAAATTTTTAAAATATACATAATTATAGTTCTCTAATTGTTAGTAAATTAAATATTTGTGTGTGTATGTGTGAGTTTGTGAAATATGTAGCTTTTCCTATCTTTTATTTTTCTATTGGGTTATTTTTCTTCTGGATTCTGATTTTTTTTTTTTAGAACTTATTATTTCTGACTCTCAGTTACCTGGGGAATGGTGTTTTCACTTTGCTTTTTCAGTGAAGCTTTTATTTTTAATTTGAACATAAGAATGACACTATGTGACATTCCATAGTGACATCCCATACATGAATATGAAATATCTCTTCATTTATAACGTAGTTATAACACTATGCGACATCCAGTATGTGAAATATGGCATATTGTCCATATGTTCAAGTTGGCTTTCTTTTTAAATGTCCTTAAAATTTTTTTACTAACTCTTTTACATATTTTGTTAAATTTTTTGTAGGTAACATATTTATTTTAGTTTAGTTTAGTTTTTACAATTAAAGTATTAATTTATTTTGGTACAAAAACTTTTTGAAATTCATACATAGTTTTCCCATTACACATATTTTCATGAGCTTTTTTTTTCTGAACCATTTTACCCTTAATTAGTGAAACATATTATCTTAGATTGGTATTGGTAAATAGGCCTTTAGGAATCAGTATGGCAGGAAAACAGCAATTCACATAATGCTCAGAGCCTATATTATGTTACTTGCTTCAAAAAGAAGGATATTTTGAGACCGGCAGTTAGTGTAATGGCTGCGTTGCTGGACTCCCATGTAGTCGACTACGGTGCGAGTCCCGGGCCCGGTGGCTTAAACTCACACCGGGCACATGTGCATGCGTGCCCAAGATCCCGAGAGGAGAATGGAGGAGAAGGGATTGCGGTGTAACCATCTCCCCTGGGGGGTGATTTCTCGCTTTCTGTCTCTCTGTCTCTGTCTTTCTGGCGAGTACACACACCCTATAGCAAAAAACCTCTCCAAAAAAAGAAAAAAAAAGGATATTTTGCTTTGGCATACAAATAAAGATATATAAGATATATACCACATAGTGATGTGCATAAAAGATATAAAAATATCTAAGATATATTCCATATAGTGATGTGCATAAAAGATATAAAGATATCTAAGATATATTCCATATAGTGATGTGCATAAAAGGAAGGGCATATAAAGCAAAGTAAGTGGGTCTTTAGAATTCAAACTATTTGGGGCTAATTAATCATTTGCTTCTTTAAACTCTCACAGTGCTTTATTTATAAGGAGAGAGAACAGTAATTTTTTGCCAACTTATGATTTTGTCAACAGCGCTTTGGGGCAAATTTATCTCAGATTTACCAAACGTTTTGTGTAATTTTATTCCTTTGAACCAAAGATAATGAAAGAATTACTGTCTTCCTTTCTTATGGTCTATGAAGTTGCTCTAGTGGCCAATTTATAATCTGTCTTCTCATTACGTGGCTAGAAGACCATGCCCAGAAGATTTAGTACAGGCATGATTTGTGCCCAGACCAGACAGTTGCTCAAGCATTTTTCCGAGCTCTGCGAAAATAAAACCAAGAAGAAAATAAGAGCAAGAGAGACATTACTTTCAAACCAGTAAGGACTACTTGAATACATTAAAGCGTGTATAAAACTTACAGAGACTGTTTCTTAGTTTCCAAAGCATCAGAATGTGATTGCCAGAGCTAGATTTTGTTTTGTTTTGTTTATAATGCAACTGGGAGTCTAGGAAGAAATTTGGTGCCTTTTTTACTCTTTTCAACTCCCAGCTCCAAATCTAAGTCGTTCACCTTCCTGCCCCCAATAGTGTTTGGGCAAGTAGAGAAATGGAATTTGGAATTTGAGTTAAAAAAAAAAATACAGAACTTGTACCTCTCCCTCTCAGCTAAACAAAAGTCCAGGGACCAGGGTGAATGGAATTCTAGGGTGAGATTTGAACACAGTGGTTGATCTGCAAATATGCTTAGAACCCCAGAGCCAAATGTGTGGAGAAGGCAGAGGGTGATGTGGCATATGCCTAGTTTTCCTTGCTTCCAAAGAGTTGAGGAGTAGCTGTCCAAGTGGACTAAGCTTGCTCTGTTTTTGAAATTAGAAATCATGAAGAGAATGGATAGCAGACAGGCTCACTACCATTGCCTCTACAGGGCCAGCCTTCAAAGAACAAAATGGCTGTACATAATACATTTTTAGGACTGCCCCTTGCATTTTTCTAATAGCCAAACACCAGTGAGCAGAAAAGCAGTGTTGTGAAGAGGATCTAGCATCTGGAGAGAAGAATGAACAAAATATGCATAGCGGATCCCAGACTAACTAGAATTTCTGGGAAGTCTAACACCTTGAGCAAAAATGAAGAGTGCTTGAGGAAGTTTAAAATAGAAACCAAAATCAACAATAAAAATCTTCAAATGCAGTAATTTGGTTGATGAGCTGGTAGAGAATTATTCATGTTAGAAATTTGAACAAATAGCCTACATGTAAAGAAAAGTATCTCAAAACAGTTAACAAAATTAAAAAGAAATTGAAATCATAAAGAAAAAGATACAAAATTTGGAGGTTAGATTTAGGAGACCTAATATGCAAATAGTCTGGATTTCTGAATTCGAAAAAGAAACAGGTACAGGAGAGAAACTTAATAATCAAATAATGTGAAAATTCTCTGAGCTGGACATAGTCTCATGATATGAATTGAGAAGTCTCCTGTGGAACTCATGAAAAAATATATACAATAGATATAGGCTTTAAACTTTAGTGACAAAAATAACATCATGTAAGTTTTCAAGGAAAAGGAGTAAGTTTCAAAGGAAAAAGAATCAGAATAGCATTAGAGTTTTTATTGGTAATGTTGTCATTGATGTGATAATCAAAGACTTTCCGATATTAAGTCCTGAACCTCAAGAATGCCAAATGTTGGGAATCAGCAGTTAGCATAATGGCTATGTCGCTGGACTCCCACGTGGTTGACTGCGGTTTGCGTCCCGGACCCGGTAGCTTAAAACTCACGCCGGGCGCGTGTGCGTGCGTGCCCAAGATCCCAAGAGGAGAATGGAGGAGAAGGGATTGCGACGTGACCATCCTCCCTGGGGGGTGATTTCTCGCTTTCTGTCTCTATGTCTCTCTCTGTCTGTCTGGCGAGCGCACGCGCCCTATAGCGAAAACCTCTCCAAAAAAAAAAAAAAAAAAAAAATGCAAAATGTTTTTACAGGATT